GCATGTGACTTATTTGTAGCATTAGCGCTTGATTGTTGACAGCAGACAAGAGCACACCTTGGGAGAGCGTTAGCACACTGAGCACATCAGAAGCCATCATCCATGGCCAAGGTCCATCAGCTAATGCCTGCCTGCCTGCCTTTCTTCCTTCTGTCCTTCTAGACTGTCTTTCTTTGTCCTAGTCAACAAAGGTTGACCTAGAAATTACTACGTAGCCCAGGCTGGCCTTCAATTTGCTGTGATCCTCTTGCCTTAGCCTCCCTAGTGCTGGGATTAGACATGTGAGCCACCATGCCCAGGTAAAAAATCTCTTCTTCTTCTTCCTCCTCCTCCTCCTCCTTTTCCTTTTTTTTTTTTTTTGTTTTTTGTTTTGTTTTTTGTTGTTGTTTTTCTAGACAAGGTTTCTCTGTGGCTTTGGAGGCTGTCCTAGAACTAGCTCTTGTAGACCAGGCTGGTTTCAAACTCACAGAGATCCACCTGCCTCTGCCTCCTGAGTGCTGGGACTAAAGGCGTGTGCCACCAAGCCCAGCTCCTTTTTCTTTCTTGTGGGATAATTTTGTTGTCATTATTTTAGTTTGGTTTTTTGAAGGTCTCTCTATTTAGCCTTGGATATCCTGTAACTTGCTACACAGACCAGGCTAGCCTTGAAAGACTAGAGATCTGTCTCAGCGCTGGGATTAAAGATATATACCACCACACCTGTCTTAAACACATGTTGATAATAAATTATATTTTCTCCTATGCCTTGAGAATAAAATGTTAGTAACAAACACCCTACCTGACAGAGTATGGCACAGGGACAGTGCAAATTCCAGGTGCAGAAACCTAAATGCAAGGGTTGGGGGTGGGTGGGCACTGCAGCACAGCAGAACTGCAGGCCAAGAAAAGGTGAGCTGATCATCACCCAAAGAAGTCACACTGTGCGACCGCAAATGCTAAAAACAAGCCTAGAAGTGGGGATCCGGACCAGAAAGAAACTGAGCGTGATGTGGTGATGAAGGCCAGCTCCAGCATGTCTAAGAAGCGGGGGCTCCTGAAGAAGACATCAAAGAAGGGGACCCCTACAAACCGGCTGGCCTTAGGGAAGAAGACCCTGCTCCAGTCCTGTGGCACTTGGAACAGCAGTGAGCAACTGTGCTTAGGCCAACTCCCCAGGTGCTGAAGAGGCACTCAGCTTTCTCTGACCTTAGGGTCAGACTGCGCTGCAGTGACACGCAGTGATACATCTGGCACTATGGATCCTCCAAAAAAAACACCCTCATTTAACACATTTAAAAACATCTTTACTATGTCACCTCTATAGTCTGTGTACATTTTGTGGGAGACTCAATTCTGGGCTCACTTAGTGAATAAAAGGGTTAAAATACCCAGTGAGATTGCATATGGCAATGAGCAGAATCACAGATGTTGATGATGCCACGTAATTAGTATTCTTTTATGTAAATGAAGGTTGTGGGCACATTACCATAGTGTCTACCCTCTCTGAGCTGGGCTGTATGCCATTTGGTCTCACCAAGACCAAGGAGGAATTCCTTGGTCCTTAGGTAAGAACTGAGAAAAAAAAGGAGAGAGAGAGAGAGAGAGAGAGAGAGAGAGAGAGAGAGAGAGAGAGAGAGAGAGAGAATTTCCTATAGAAATTTCCTTAATTCCTATTTTATTCATTGAAATTTTCTGATGATGTGGTTACACATTGCTAACACATTTTCTGTTTGAGAATAATGGGAATAATCCAATTAAAAGACATTTTCATATTGGGGGGGTTCTTTTTTGGGGGGGTGTTTCGAGACAGGGTTTCTCTGAGGCTTTGCAGGCTGTCCTGGAACTACCTCATGTAGACCAGGCTAGTCTTGAACTCACAGAGATCCACCTGCCTGTGCTTCCTGAATGCTGGGACTAAAGGCCTGCACCACCACCGCCTGGCATCTTCAACAGTTTTTAAATGATATAATAAATCTAGTTTCTCATCAGTACAAAAGGCAAAGGTTAAGATTTCTCTTAACATTCCATTTGACAAGTAGGGATAGCTAATTTTGCATTCATTTAAATGGAGGATTCTGGTTTTATACCCAGCTTTTGGTTTCCTTCTTTTGTCCTCTCCCTCCATAGTGACTGGGGATATTGAATCTAGAGCATCATGACTGCTAAGCAGAGCACTGGGCTACACCTACAGACCTTATTTCAGTTTTTTAAATTAAAAAGGTGCTGGGATTGTGATTTATGCTTGTAATCCCATGTGCTGACTAGTTTTATGTCAGCATGATTCAAGCTAGAGTCATCAGAGAGGAAGAAGCCTCTGTGAGAAAACATCCCTATAAGATCAGACTATAAGCAAGCCTGGAGGTCATTTCCTTAATAGTGACTGATGTGCTGCAAGGGCCCAGCCCATTGTGGGTGGGGCCAGCCCTGGATAGGTGGTGCTGGCGCTATAAGAAAGCAGGCTGAGCAAGCCAGTAAGCAGCACCCTTCCATGGTCTCTGCATCAGTTCCTGCCTCCAGGTCCCTGGCCTGACTTCCCTCATTAATGAACAATTACCCAGAAGTGTAAGTGAAATAAAGCCTTTCCTTTCCACATTGCTTTTGGTCATAGTGTTTCATCACATCAATATTAACCCTAACTAGGACATCCTATCACTTGACAGGCTGAGGCAGGAAGATTGCCACAAGTTCAAGGACAGCCTGAACTGGTATGCCTCAAAAAAAAAAAAAAAAAGTAAATAATCAAACTGTGGTGATTAAATATCAAATGCTACTACTCACTGGCTTTACTTTCACATATATGCATGAATCCAAGGTGTGCAGGGTGTTTATAAATGAAGTGGCTGGTCTACTCAACAGCACAGAGCTGCTGAGAGTCCATTCTTTGCCAGTTACACTCAGGTTCATCTGTTGACTACCTGTCACACTGGGTATGTAAGTGTCAAATGAGATTTTAGAATTATTGTGACCTTTGAGAATGTGAAGAGAAGGATGTACATGTCAGAAAAATACAAAGTGGGGTTTGGGTGTGGTCAGAAGGAGTGTGGGAGAGCCAAGCCCATTTGGGGTTGTTCTCCTTTTTCTGTGTCTTAAATTGGATGAGTTCGTTGTTTTTACATCACTTTGGGAGATTTTCATTTTGAGATCATATATACTGTCCTTTAGAGAAGCTAGTCTGCCTCGCTGAGGTAACTGGTGTGGTGCAAAGAGGTCCAGTGTTTTCCTGAATGGTGTACTCTGCCATGTGGCAGGGGGTAGCCACTACAGATGTGTAATGGGAAGAGGACTGGATAGGAGATGATGGGCTTGACCAGCAGGTGAGATCAGGAGAAACGGTTTTCAGGGCACCCTTTCCCTTCATCAGGTCTCCACAGAGACAGTGTGCTTGTTTGCTCGGGGTCTGCTGCTGTTTCTCCATTTCATTACTATCCCAGAAGCTGGCTTTAAAGACAGTCTTCTGGTGCTGTGTTTCATGGTGTCAGACTTGGTGGCAGTAAACTTCCTGAAGACACATCAGGAAACAAAATGGAAACATTTGCTGGGCATCAGGATCCTGTAAGAGGAGGCCATTCAGATGTGATTCCGAAAGCCGTGACTCAGCCTGGCCTGGTGTGCCTAAGTCTGTGTGACTGTAGTCACTAGCCAGATGTGACTATTCTTTTGTTTGGGTTTTTAAGACAGGACAGCTACATAATTTCGAGACCCTGTCTCAAAAATAAATAAATCAGTAAATAACTTTTAAGAATTTAGAGAACTTTGTCTTTAAGATTTTGTCTGTGTAGCTCTAGCTGTCCTGGAACTCGCTCTGTAGACCAGGCTGGCCTCAAAGTCAGAGATTCACCTGCCTCTGCCTCCTAGTGCTAGGTCTAAAGGTGAGCAACACCATTGCCTGGAACTTTTAGGATATTTTTAATCCTGGGAAAACTTAAGGTTTCCGAACAATAAAATATTTTTAAAATATTTGTTCAGCTTAATTCCCTATGGATGCCTACCTACTATATTTTCCTCATGAAAAACATTAAAAAGCAACATTAAAAGCCAAACATGGTGGTGCATACCTGTGACTCTAGTATTGGAGGTGCAGAGAAGGTGAGTTCAAGGCCAGCCTGGACTCCATATTAGTTCCAGGCCAGCTGGGGCAACATAGTGTGACCCTGTCTCTAAACCAAACCAACCAAACAAAAGACACAAAGAACAACAACAAAAAAACAGTATTAGAGATCACTAATCTCAACTCTTGTTTGAAGATGTAGGAAGAGTGCCACCAATTTGGGCCAGCCTGGGCTACAGAGTCAGTCTCAAAAAGGAAGGGAAGCAAACTTGCTTCTGTTTTCTTGTTTCTTGTGTCTGGGTAGTTAGCTTGAACACTGTCCCAATAGCTACACCATCTCTTGTCCTATCAGATTCATCTGTGTATTTACTTATTTTATTTTAATTTAAAAAATTATTTTATGTACATTGGTGTTTTGCCTGCATGAATGAATATCCTTATGAGGGTATTGGATCCCCTGGAACAGGAGTCATGGACAGTTGTGAGCTGCCATGTGTATGCTGGGAATTTAACCCGGGTCCTCTGGAAGAGCAGTCAGTGCTCTTAACCACTGAGCCATCTCTCCAGCCCCTCATCTGTGTATTTATTTACTTGTCAGTAAAGACGGTGAGAGTTTTGCCAAACTTTCTACAAAATGTGTTCTCTTCAGAAAGGCTAACTTCTAAAATATTACTTAAATTGAGACTTGGGCTCTGCCTCCTCAGCTGTCAATTCACTTTCTTTTTATCTTTCCCTTATTTTGTACCTTTACTATGAGATACACTGAAATTAACCTAAGGTGGTCAGGTTGATTTTGTTTTGAGGCTCTTGGTGGTACTTGAAATTACCAGTTTCAACTTTCAAAAGAACAAATTTTGAATTAAAGACTAATAAATCTTGCACAGAAATGGCAATTACAGCCCTTTTTCTAGGAAAATATTTTGCTGAAATGCTGCTTTTTTTTACCCCCTTTTGGGGGGCTTTGTGATTCCAGAATAAGAGAGTGGCGACTGCGCTAAAACATGGATAGATGCAAACAGGCAGGGAGGGTAAAGCCCCCCAGGACCACTCCATCCTGAACCCTCAGAAGTGGTGCTGTCTGGAGTGCTCTACCACAGAGTCTGCGTGGGCCTGCCTCAAGTGCTCCCACGTGGCCTGCGGCCGCTATATTGAAGACCATGCACTGAAACACTTTGAAGAGACCGGACACCCGCTGGCCATGGAGGTCCGGGATCTCTATGTGTTCTGCTACCTGTGCAAGGACTACGTGCTCAATGACAACCCCGCGGGGGACCTGAAGCTGCTGAGAAGCTCCCTCCTGGCGGTTCAAGGCCAGAAGCAGGACCAGCCCGCGAGGCGTGGGCGGATGCTGCGGTCCACTGCTGCAGGGGAGGACGTGGTCCCACCGCAGCGCACTCCTCAGGGACAGCCGCAGATGCTCACAGCTCTGTGGTACCGGCGCCAGCACTTGTTGGCCAAGACGCTGCGGCTGTGGTTCGAGAAGAGCTCCAGGGGCCGCGCACAGCTAGAGCAGCGGCGGCGGGAGGAGGAACTGGAGCGCAAGAAGGAGGCGGCGCGCCTACGCAACCTGGGCAACACCTGCTACATGAACTCAATCCTCCAGGTACTCAGCCACCTCCAGAAGTTCCGGGAATGTTTCCTGAACCTCGACCCTTCCACCTCCGAGCACCTGTTTCCCCAAGCAACCAACGGGAAGGCTCAACTCTCTGGTAGACCAGCCAGCACCTCTGCCACGGAGTTGTCAGTAAAGAGTGACCGGGCCCAGGGGTGCGAACCTCGGGGCCTCTGCTGGAACAGCGGAGCCTCCATCAGCAGGAGCCTGGAGCTCATTCAGAACAAAGAACCCAGCTCAAAGCACATTTCCCTCTGCCACGAACTGCACACCCTCTTCCGAGTCATGTGGTCTGGGAAGTGGGCGCTGGTGTCGCCCTTTGCCATGCTTCACTCGGTATGGAGCCTCATTCCCGCCTTCCGTGGCTATGACCAGCAGGACGCACAGGAATTTCTCTGCGAGCTGTTGCACAAGGTGCAGCAGGAACTTGAGTCTGAGGGCTCCACGCGCCGGATTCTCATCCCCTTCTCCCAGAGGAAGCTCACCAAGCAGGTCTTAAAAGTGGTGAACACCATATTTCATGGGCAGCTGCTCAGTCAGGTAGGTGTGTACCGACCCGAAGCACGGTGGGAAGCTTGGGTGGTAGTTTGGGCTTCCAGATTCCTGGGCTAAATGGTTGTTTGTACCTGACACTGTACACTGGTGACCATGTAGGTGAACTTGGGTATTCTTTGTCCAGATCTTTTAATCAGTCCAGTTTACAAAACTGAACGGTTTGTGTCTAGCACTCTTTCCAAAGTCGTTTTAAAGGGTCTTTCCCTTTTATTTATAAGTAGTTGGGGGTATGCCAAAGACCAAGTGAACGTCCTTCCCACTGCCCATAACTCCCCCCACCACCCCCCCAAAATATGGTCCCCAGTAGCCAAGTGTGCTTTAATTATGCAGCTGAGGATGATATTAAATTTCGGTCCTCCTGTCTCCACCTCCCAAGTGCTGGATTACAGAATCTATGTTCTCATTACCTTTCACTTTCAGGATCAAAACCATTCCCAGACCTAAGTAAGCAAAGATCCCCAGGCCTTATAAAATATACACAAAAGGAATTATTACATATTTAAAAAAAAGAGTGGGCAATGTAAGGAGACTTGGGTTAAAGCCTCTACACTGAGTTTCAGAGGTTCTGTGCCTCAGCTATTAAGATTGTGAAAAGACTGGTGAGTAGGCTGGGAAGGGAAACTGAGTAATCTCCCTCCTTTCTGCATGTGAAACCGCATCTGGGGACATAACAGTAGGAGAGAAAGTCTAACCACAGCAGATGGGATACTGTGGCAAACAGGTGAACCAAGTGTGGCCTTACCCTAGCACTTGAGGCTGAGACGAGAGAAACCAGAGTTCAAGACCAGTAGGGAATATACAGCAAGACTCTATGTCAAAGGGAAATAAAAATAAGAATGAAGGGAATGTGGGGAAAGGACAGAGGAAGGAGAGAAGAAAGAGCTAAATTTGCTACATGGAAGGACCAAGTAAAAGAGAAGAATTTGAGAGTGAACAAAGCAGACAGTGACCTGCCAATCCTCTCTCAGCCCAATTCCTTGAATGCCTCTGAGGTCCACTGAGACAGCAAGAGGGGAGAAAGCAGGGGGTGCCCTGTGGTTAGTTACAGCATAGTTAGAAATGCAGCCACACATAATATGCTCTAATGCTTTTAGTAGAGTTATTTAAGTTCTTACAACCTTTTGGGGGAAAGTGGTTGGTAAATTTATATGTCTCCTATAAAACAAGCAAAATTGTACGTGGGAAGCATGGAAACTATATAATCTGCAAACCAATCTTGTCGTTCTAGGTTACATGTGTATCATGCAATTATAAATCCAATACCATTGAGCCCTTTTGGGATCTGTCCCTGGAATTCCCTGAACGATACCACTGCATAGAAAAGGGGTTTGTCCCTTTGAATCAGACAGAGTGCCTGCTCACTGAGATGCTGGCCAAGTTTACAGAGACAGAGGCCCTGGAGGGGAGAATCTACGCTTGTGACCAGTGTAACAGTGAGTGCTGCATGGAGAAGGGGTGGGGATTGCAACTGAAATACAATTTAAGGAGCTATTTTTGACCCTTTAGTGAAAAGAAACACAGAGCCCGGTGGTGGTGGTGAGTGCCTTTAATCCCAGCACTAGGGAGGCAGAGACAGGTGGATCTCTGTGAGTTCAAGGCTAGCCTAGTCTACAGAGTGAGTTCCAGAACAGGCTCCAAAGCTACAGAGAAACCCTGTCTCAAAAAGAAAGAAAGGTCAGAGACACGAGGTGAGTCTAAGCCATCTTTTAAAGATCCTTTTCTCAGAGTCTCTATGACTTTACATAGTAAAAACAGACCTGGCTCAGTGAGTCAAGGTGCCTGCCACACAAGCCTGGTGACCTGAGTTCAATCCTTAGAATCCAAACAGAGGTGGATGGAGAACCGACTACCATAGCACACACACCTACATACACACACTTTTTAACATCGAAAACAAGGGGCTAAGAATTGTGTCTCTCTTGACTTTTCTGACTGACCTTAGTTATTTGGGAAGTGTGTGAAAGTGGTTTCTGAAAGGGGCTACAAGATTGTTAGCACTTACCTTCAAAATGCAACGGGGGTCCTAGGTTCACACATGTAGTCTGATGGTTCTTATTTAGTCTAAATCCGGTGGTATACCCCATTTGAGTACTGAGATGAGAAAGTATGTTTTTGTATTGAGTCTGTAGATTTAAAGTCTGTTAACCCATGCAAAAAGATGGTATGTTGCGGCTGGGGAGACTTCTCAGTTGCAAAGGGTTTTTCTTTGTGAGCGAGAGGGAACTGAGGTGGAGCCCATAACGGAGGTAAAAGAGTCAGGTGTGGTAGTGTGTGCTTTAAGCCCCAGCTCTAAACAAGGAGATACAGGTGGGTACCTGAGGTTTGCTGGCCACCAGTCTAGCCTACTTAGCAAGTTCCAGACCAGTGAGAGACCTTGCCTCAAAACAGCAACAAAAACAAACATGGATGGTTCCTGAAGAATGACACCCACAATATTTGCTGGCCTCCACAGGCACATGTGCACAAGCATCTACATATACACATATATCCATGCACAGACAAGATTGGAGGCTGGCCAGATGGCTCAGCAGATGAAGGCACTACCTGACAACCCAAGTATAATTCCCAGGACTTACATGATTGACAAGTTATCATGTGACCTACATAGACACACATACATACACTGTAAATAAATAAATAGATGTGATTTTTAAGGTATTGGTATATAAAACCAATGCAGCGTATTGCATGGCACTTGATCAATGGCAGCATCGTGGATATGTTGTACTTTTTCCTTCACATGCTTGCAAAGCTTTCATTTCAGAGAAAATCACAAAGAAGTGTCTGTATCCTTGGTCTAATTTATAGTGGGTCTCTTTCTTTGTAGCATACGTGCAGGCCCTTCTGTGTCTCCAGACTAACACCTAGTGCTCCTGCTAGCCCAGCATGCATAGATAGAAATGCACAGCAAATATATGGACATTTGTGTCTGGTGACAGTGTTTAAAGACTGATTTGTTTGCATGTGTGTGTTGGTCTGTATGAGCAGCTATGCACTGTGTGTATGCCTGGAGCTCTTACAAATCAGAAAAGGGCTTCAAATCTCCTGGAACTGACTATGAGCTGCCAAGAGCAGCCGGTACTCTGAATACTGAGTAATGTCTCCAACCCTGGTGTCTAGATTTTATGACATAAAGATGTAGAGATGAAAAATAACAAAGTTATGGATTATGAAATTGTTAACCCCACTGATCAAGAATAAGACCACTACCACAGTTTAAAGCCAAATTTGAAATAAGTCTTAATTAAATACTGGCCAAGTAGATGGACTCTGGCCAGGTCCATACCCAGGTTCCTGGGAAATGAACCAGAACCACAGTTTGCAGTGGCTTAAGAAGGAAAACCCATAATTCACTGCATTTCTCATCAGGTCCAATCAGGGGCAAGCATATATACTGGCTTGCTCCCGCCTGTGAACCACATGTGATCAAGCACATCCAGGGCAGATGGGTCAAACAAACCTTATTTTGGGGAGTGAAAAACAAGGGGCTTGTTATCTCCCATAAACAATAGCCTCCAGCATTCCAGGAACTATCTGTCCTTGGACAAGGGCCTTGCAGATCAGAGACATTTTCTGTTTCATGCATCTCTATGGCATAGTTATTAAAACGTAAAATGCCTTTCACACAATGACCTAGTTTGGAGTTTACTCTGAATTTTTTGGGGGGGGTCGTTTTCTATATTTTTTTGTTTTGAGACAAGATCTCTTTATTATATAGCCCTGGCTGTCCTGAACTCTATTATGTAGACCAGGCTGGCCTCAAACTCAGGAATCCGCCTGCCTCTGCTTTCCCAAGTGCTATGATTAAAGGTGTGTACCACTACACCTGGCCAAAGCTTTTTAACTGTAAGGAACAAAGGGGCATTGACATCTTTGTATCATTCTTGGATGTGACAGATTAGGCAGGAAATACTCAGTTTTTCAGGAAGTCGTTTTCTGGATTAGTCAGGATTTCTCTATGCCGCTGCTAATGCAGAAGGCATCAGTAGGCATGAACTACACTGGCTTGGTGCTTGTGAATTTAAGGATTGTCACTCTTCTTCCAATCTGTATCTTGAGACAAAACTGGCTCGTCTCAACTGAGTCAGGAATTTCTTTTTCTTTGTGGAATTTCATTTAGGGAAACAAAGAGAGTCTACATTGTTTCCACTTTAGCTCACTACTCCCTCTGCTGTGGATTGTGGTCATTGCCAGCTTCCTAAGCAGAGCTACATTCCTTTTCAAAGGTCCTCAAAGCCCTCTCTGGGTGCTTCTTGCATATCCCACATGTCATGACTACATGGCTGCATTCTAATGTTGTCTGCCCTGAGCAGCTAACCCTCCATGTCCTGTTGTCACAGAGAGCTGTTTTCACAAGTGCGGCAAACAGGTCTTGAAATCAGATGCCATGGTTCTACTCTGAACCCTCAGAACAACAGCTCAGAGACAAGCAGCAGCCCCCCCCCCCACCACGAACTTTGTGTGTTCCAGTCTGTTCCCCTCTGTCGGATCAGTGAGTGCTTACAAAGGACTCTGATTGAGACTGAGGACGTTTTATTTTCATTGTCTATTTTCTCAGGATTTAGGGCTCCATTCCATTTATAAGGCTATAGTTCAGAAACAAAATTATAGAGTCAGCATTTGTTCTTTTGGACTAGGGCAGTGGTCCTCAACCTTTCTAACACCGTGACCCTCAAATACAGTTCCTCATGTTGTGGTGACCCCAACCATAAAATTTTCATTTCTACTTTGTAACTGTAATTTTGCTACTGTAATGTAAATATCTGGGTTTCCCATGGTCTTTGGCAACTCCTGTGAAAGGGTCATTTGACCACTATGGGGTCATGACCCAGAGGTTGGTGACCACTGAAATAGATGAACTTGGCTACCTTCCCATCTTGTCTATAAGAAACACACTTCAGGTGCCGGAGAGATGGCTCAGAGGTTAAGAGCACTGGCTGTTCTTCCAGAGGTCATGAGTTCAATTCCAGCAACCACATGATGGCTCACAACCATCATAATGAGATCTGTATGCTCTCTTCTGGTGTGCAGACTGTGTATGTAATGAATAAATCTTTAAAAAAAAAAGGGGGGGAAGAAAGGAAGGAAGAGAAAGAAAAGAAGGAAGAAACGCATTTCAGCCAGACAGTGGTGGTGCATGCCTTTAATCCTAGAAGACAGGAGGATCTCTGAGTTTCAGGTCAGCCTGGTCTACAGAATAAGTTCCAGAACAGCCAGGGCTACACAGAGAAACCCTGTCTCAGGAAAAAGAAAAAATACATTTCAAAAACTATGGCATAAAAACACAGAACTGCCCTAGTTTGCTTTCTGAAAAACACCATGACCAAAAGCAACTTGGGGAGGAGAGGTTTATTTTAGTTTGCATTCCATCATCAAGGGCGGTCAGAGAAGCTCATGGTGAGAGCTGAAGCAGAAACCCTGGAGGAAGCTCCTTCCAAGCTTCAATCAACTATCTTTCTTATACCAATAAGTCCAGCTGCCCATGGGCAGTGCACCCACAGTGGGCTATTCTTTCCTACATCAATCAGCAATCAAGGAACTTCCACACAGACATGGTCACAGGCCAATCTGATGTAAGCAATTCTTCGATTAGGGATCTCTCCAGATGTATCAAGGTGACAACCGAAATTAACCATCACAACCACCAAAGTTTATTTTTTAAAAGTTTGTATATGCCATAAGCAAAACATGTTGGGAAAAAACTGCTTTCATATTCTGTCCTTTAATAATCATAATTTATGATCTTTTTCCTAAGCCTCAAATATATGTAACATACAAAACAAAACTGTATCTCCTGGTGAGGGAGCTGAGGCTCAGAGTTTGAAATAACATTCATTTGGCCCATAGATATATAGTTAGTTATAAACAGGAAATGCAGCTAGGCCAAACTGTTGAAAAGAAAAAGCCTTTTAAACATAAACTGCATGGTAATTTAAGTGATAGGAATGTAAAAGCAGCCAGGCGTTGGTGGTGCACGCCTTTAATCCCAGCACTCAGGAGTCAGAAGCAGGCGGATCTCAGTGAATTGAAGGCCTGGTCTATGGAGTTCCAGGACAGCCAGTGCTACACAGAGAAATCCTGTCTCTAAAAACTAAAAACAAAACAAAACAAAAAGTCATGACACCTGAAATATACTATTCTGAACCCATATCACTTCTGGAAGCTGCTGATGGCAAAAATTTGAAAGCAGATATATCAGGATCAGGATTTTAAGAGGCCAATAACTGACTGTCATATAGAAGTAGTCTGGAGGGCATCCCAAGGCTAGCTTGTGGCTGCATGGCCATCAGGGAATGAAGGCTCCCACTGATTCACTATCAGAGTGCAGAGCTCATCCACAAAGTTATGTCAGGGTCCCATCACTCCTTTCATCTTAGCCACAACTCCAGAGCCAAACTGGGAAATGCAGGCATACTTGGGATATCACAGTATTACCATAACTAAAACTAAGGTCCAGTTTTCAAAAACTAAGGAGAATGTCTGTTGAGTGGCCAGTAACTGTGGTGGATGCTCCTCACTGCCTGTCTTATACCTTTCCAAACCACATAGGCAAACGACGGAAATCTAACCCAAAGCCTCTTGTTCTGAGTGAAGCTAGAAAGCAGCTAATGATCTACAGACTACCTCAGGTCCTGCGGCTGCACCTCAAAAGATTCAGGTGAGCTTTGGGGGAGAACAAATGGCTTTCTTTTCCTCTTTTTCTTTCTTTTTTTGGTATGGGAAGGAGAAGCCTGTTCCTGTGGGGCCTTTCACTTGCTGTGAAGAGTCAATGGTTCTTGGCATATCCCCTTAATCCCAGCACTTGGGAGGCAGAGGCAGGTGAATCTCTGTGAGTTTGAGACCAGCCTGACCTACAGAGAGAGTGCCAGAAAAACCAAAAAATATTAAAATAAAAAAAAGAAAGAAAGAAAAGAAGAGCTGATGTTGGAGCCAGCATTCAGCGCTCTTGCCTTGTTTAATTGCTAGCTTGCACCTAATGTCTGTTAATATCCTACCTTTGTTTGGGTTTATGCAAATCCATCCCAAGTGAATGGGCAAGTAACAGACTATACAGAGACCATGCCTGAACTGCCTTTTT